AGCACTAGTTTAGATACCCCTCTTGGTCTTGGGTGCCATGTGAGCATTATTGATTTTATTCTGTTCCTAAACAATTTCTTGATTACTCTCTCCTCCAAGCGCAGCGACTATATAATAGACAATTCCTAATGGCTGGCAAGTGGACCGCTGCTATCTTTTTTTTTTTTTTTTTTTTTTTTTTATATTAATATGTTATTAGTTCTTCAGCAAAGCTGTATATAGCATTGTCTCAATCTCTACAAATGAGTCAGGTGGTTAGGCAGGGTCAACCACAGGAGTTAAAGATTCCATGTTCCTTGCACACATGCCTTACCATACAAGACAAGTGGAGTAGCACAGTACCACTATTTTAGCGTCCCCCCCCCCCCTCCCCGATGCTGCAGGACAGACAGGACAGGCCGTGGGGAGGGGAGGGGAGGGGAGGGGGGAAATGCAATTGACATTAGAATTTCTGGGTTTTAATCAACAAAGCACCCCCTACAATCAAACTCCAACGGCTTAATGTCCCAATTCACTCTCTAACCCCTCCCATCAAACCCCTAACATTGACTCCTCCTGCCGAGACAATCCCCTCAGCCATCATCATGTCCACTACCGACACCACCACTACCACCAAACCAGCCTGGTACCAAACCAGCGTCACGGCCATCGACCCCGCCGCGCAATCCATGCTGGAGAGTTACAGCGGGCTCGCACCCGAAGAGGTCATTTCCCATGTCTTAGCCCTGGTAAGTTCCCCCCCTCAAGACTATTTTCCCCTTCCCCAAGTGTTACACCTTCCCCCCCCAACTCTAACTGAAACCACTTGTGTGAACAGCGAGATGAAGCCTTCCAAATCTTCCCTTACCCCTGCATCGGCCAAATGCGCTTCCTAAGCTGCCACCTCTCCCGCCTTCCCTTTTACGACCACGTGCTCGCCCGCCTGCGCGCCTCCCCGGCCAATGGCTTCCTCGATGCAGGCTGCTGCGTCGGTCAAGAGCTCCGACATCTAGTCTACGCCGCCTCAATCCCGCCATCCCAGTTATACGGCTTTGATCTAGAAGCTGGGTTCTTCGAGCTCGGGTACAAGCTGTTCCGTGATAATGCGGAGACGTTCCCTGCTACGTTCGTGGGCGCGGATCTAGGTGTGTCGGACGAGGAATGGGAGAAGACCGAGATTGTGGCGAAGATGAGGGGGAAGATTGATATTATTTGGGCAGGCTCGTTGCTGCATTTCTGGGATTATGAGGGGCAGCTCCGTGGTGTGGAGCGGTTGATTGGGTTGACCAGGGGGGAGGTTGGGATGATGGTTTGTGGGAGACAGATGGGGAGTACGGTGGCGGGCGTGTATGATTTGACTGGGTTGACGGAGAAGACGATGCTGCATTATCGGCATGATGTGGCGAGTTTTGAGCGTATGTGGAGGGATATTGGGGAGAAGACGGGGAGTAGGTGGGATGTGCAGGCGGAGTTGGAGGTTGGGGAGACGACGACTAATATGAGGAATAAGGCAAGGTTTATGGATGATGATGCCAGAATTATTTGGTGGTGTGCAACGAGGGTGGAGTAGGAACTTTTCCTTGAGTGTGGGAATGGAGATGATGACTACTATAACTACTATATGACATGGCAATCTTGTACTGTTTTAAACTAGATCAATAATTATACTTACTTATTAATTCTGATTTTATTATTACTTTTCTTCGCGCGAAAATGCTGTCTAAAACTAAATATTAACTAATATTAATCTATCACTGTTGGTATGATCCTACAGCTTAAAAATATTTAAGAAATAAGAAGATAACACTTATTACTAGAAATAAATTTTAGAATTATCCCACAACTCAGTAACTGATCTATTTAATTTATATTATATCTTAGATCTCTTGCCAATTCTTAAGTTATTACCTAGTTACAAGAAACTGTGATACACACCTATATAATACAGATTAAAGCAGACATTCGCACCTTAAAGAAATACTGTGTAACTGTGTTAACCTATGATACAAGAAACAAGCTCTAAACTGGAACATAATCAAGTCGCATTTTGACAGTTCCAAAAATATCTGAGTATCTGTTATCATTTTTTAGGTCTTAGCTTGGGTAAGGTATTCTTGGATTAATCTCTGTTTATCTTACTTATTTATATCTAGTTTATGCCCATTGAATTTGCGAATTCTAGACCCTCTTGAACTACCCATGTATCTATCGAAGCCTGAAAGACAACCCGCCATATCTATCATTCTTTGAGGTATTGATAAATCCGGATCGCTTCAGGGCGTCTCCTTACTTTGACCCAGTGACGTGAAAGCAGGTGATACTATCGAATATAAAGGAGATTTTGAACTGAATTGGCATGAAGATGAATATTTCAGATAATATTGAGAAATAGGAATAATGGTAGTAGTGGTTGTAGTGGTAGTAATAATGATAATGATAGAAAGAAAGAGATAACAGAGCCAAAAAAACAATAGATTATAAATCGTCAGCGACAGGATTCGAACCTGTGCACGCGAACGTATCAGATTTCGAATCTGACGCCTTAACCACTCGGCCACACTGACTAATAATAGTAATATTATTAGTAGTAGTAGTAGTAGTTAGTAGTAGTAGTAGTTAGTAGTAGTACGTAGTATTGATAATAGAGAGGTTCTGCACTATTATAATAATAAGTTGCTAAAAGGGTTAGCGCGGGCCTAAATAGAAAGGCGGCCTTTTGCCTGACTACGCAATGGATCCACATTTAGTATTCTCATTATAATAATAATATAATGAGAATAGTAACGTAACGGGTTTAGCGCTGTACTAGGGATCCAGCACCTAGAGGCCCCTACCTAGGGACCCTACGTGTCAGGATCCCGCCTGGTGCGCTTCAGACGTGAATCCTCTGGCTATCTATCCGCTAGACTATCCAGTAAAAGACTAGAATTCTGAGTCAACAGACTCAGAACGCGCATCTCTTATAAGCTTCAATTCACTAAATGGCAGGCATGTGACTGGTTGTCACACTACGTAGGCACTCAACGCGTTGAAATATCAGTAATTCAAAGTCATATAAACACCCATATTTGCCTACACCACCACGAATTCTGCCTCCACCTCTTCGTCATTTAAAAACAGCAATATAAGCATCATTCCGGCTATTGTAGCTTCATCCTGTCCCTTTCGGGCAGGTGTTCCATGGTTGGGCTATATAGCTGCCTGCGGGTGCCCAGAAGTAGCAGTTGACGTCCATTAAACAGCCAACACGCTAAGAATCGTTGAAAATGCCCTATTCCCAAAGAGTTGAATAGCTTCATTAGTAATAGGGTTGACGCTATTCCTAGTTAGGTTCTGCGGGCAGAATTTATTATGATAATATTATTATTATAATAGTGCAGAACCTCTCTAATGATAGGAAGAAAGAGATAACAGAGCTGAAAAAAAAGAATCAATTGTAAATCGTCAGCGACAGGATTCGAACCTGTGCACGCGAACGTATCAGATTTCGAATCTGACGCCTTAACCACTCGGCCACACTGACTAATATGCTATCATCTTGACCTTGATGTGCTTCTGTATAGCTAAGCGTAGCCTCGGAGTTCCATCATCCATTATGCTGCCATGCTAACTATCGTCATAAGAATATCTTTCTCCTCTTTGGGCGGCCCACCTGCTGTCGGTAGGCCAATAGCTGAGAGATATACTAAATATAGTAAGTACTAATTGTATATATAATCCCTCTGATGGTCCTACTGGTAGTACGACTAGGTCTAGCAACACCTACAATACTACTTATTACTACCTGCCTCAATACCAGTAAAAGTCCTCCAGGTCTTTGACTGAAATATATCAGGCATTAGTAATGGCAGTACTAGCCATTGAAGGAGCAGAGTCGTCTAATCAGGATCTCACAGTTGGATAGTACATTGAAAATTTTATTGGTCCTGTACTTCTATACCTTTATCCGATTCTGGTTTCTGTATAGCTCAGACAGATACCAGAATCCTTAGATATCCTCTCGCTTACGGGACATTACCACTCCATTGTCATCTGTAAATGCACCCCCAATAAAACTCTTCAATGCCGGGTAAGCTGCAAGTATCCTGGTATTTCGGTGATCAATGTCGATGAAGCGCCGAGGACGAGTATATATCTCAAGAAGCTGGTCACCATTAAGCTCATCCACAAGTGTATTTGCTTTGCAGCACGACTGCCAGCTTTTATGGCTTGCATATCGGACAAAGGTCTCTTGACCATCAGATTCCTTTATTGAAATACGGAATGCCAGTCGAGCTCCGGGGTCCCCATCCCTGATATCTTGCGCCCAGACATTGGGGTTTCTAACACCAGGTGGGGAAAGTTCAGCCTTGACCCAGAATCCTCCCTTGTGGTTCTCCCTGGTCGCGTTATGTAGATCTTGGTATGCTGGATGTCCACACTATAATGGCCTGGAGCTCGCTCACGGCCTTGATACCAGCAGCCCAAGGCCAGACACAACCGGTTCTTGAAATTGCCAATTCGCGTGTTTGCAGCTAGCTTTGGTTCCGGAATTTCAGTATATTCTCGGTCTGAATCTTCATCATCCAGCATAATTCCACACATAGCTGCTTCATGGATGGCATGCTCATCAGCCGCATTGTACTCACCAGTCACTTTGTACTCTTCAGGTGTTGAGCTCCCGGGATGAAGTTCTAGATAAAGTGATTTGACTGCGCTTAGGATGTTTCTGTCTATAGTGCCACGTCGCTTGGCTTTTGAATCAGGGATGGGGCGTACACCAGTTGACCTTACTTGTCTGGGAACAACAAGGCTAAGGACGAGAAGACCGTAGCGCAAAGAGCCCCCAGCTGACTGTTCAAGTCGACGAATCTGCTCCTCAGTCTCGAAACCATTCTTTGCCAACCAAGCTTGCAGGAGGGGCTCGAGATTTGCCGGGGCTATTTTCTCCATTTTTTTATTGTTTTCATCGTCCCAGTTCCGAATTATCAGAGCAAGCGAAACAGCTGACTCATAGAAGCCCTGTCTAAGCTTCGTGCCGGTTATATGGGAAACAAATCGAAATAATGTCCCTAACTGACATGCCTCTCTGGCTTTGGTAGCCCAAAGGCCGCCGAGAGGAGCAGGCGAGCGAATAAAAGTTCGGTTAACCCTAGACTCTTCGATATCAAGCCATACTTGATACTCAAAATCATGTAGTTTCAGAATAAAACTCCTGAGGCGTATATTGGCCGGCATTGCTATTCTCTCCGAATCATGGCCACATAGCAAGATTACCCGCATCTGGCTTCCACAGATGAGCCGCCAGGTGTGTGCAGAGAGCATATGTTCATCAGCAATATGAAGTGGAGCTGCCTGAAATGTACCGGAGATGTATGTAAATTTCTGGAGATTGAAGGACCAGATCAACGAGTTTGTTTCGGTGAAGCCGCTCTCATGCAACCCCCATGGAAGATTAGGCCGGCCATCCCCATATGCACACGACGGTGCATGATCTAGGATGATACCGATCGGGGCTCGAGTGCTGCCAAAAGGACTTTCAAGGTCAGCCTGTGTCAAATTGCCCTGCTGCAATATGCTAGCCGATACCGATTCGAACCAAGAGCTGGGATCTATGGGCTCCTCTTCCTGTATTCTCCATATACTACCCTCAGGTTGCGGCAAGTGGGGGTTTTCCAGCTCAGTATTTGTTTCTATGGCGTCCCATAATGCTGCAAGATGATCGAATGGGGTCATGCTGTTCCAGAACGACGGTTTAACGCTCTTATGGGACTGCTGGCTATCTTGGTCCCGCTGAGCCTTTAAACTCCTTCGGAAGCTTGGCCATTTCTTGATTTCCGGATCGGGAGACTCTTCCAGTAAGCACACGGCCTGATCACGAACAGTATATCCCAGCTCCCTGCCTTGAAAAAGAGGCGAAACAACATTTAATCCAATGCCGGAGTACTTTCCATTCTCAGGCGGGCCAAAAACCTGCTCCAGCGTCCGAGCAGGCAGAGACTGAAAAGCGAGACACATGACTTTCTCAAGAACATTATTAAAAACACTTCTAGTTACGCGATCGGTGCTTCCAGGGAACGGAATTGTCCACAGTCGAATGAAGTTGGCGTAACGATAACCTGCCCCTTCTTTTATGATATAATAATGTAGGTTGTTTGCAGAACCCTTGCGAATAGCATTCGTATGCTGGGAAATCCGCCGATGGAGGTTTTCTGATTGGCCAACATATGCACGCCAGTACAAAGGGCTGCGGGTGTCTCTTATATAGTCCAGGTAACCCCCATTGGAGCAATGCCAAATATCTAGGCCTGTGGCTTGCTTTTGGCGGATATCGTCAAGTCTGAATGTTTTCAGTGAGATGGGATCTCTAGGTCGAGGGAGACACGGCGCTTACTTCTCAATATCGATGATCTTGCCCTGGAGAGACTTGGCTAGTGGGTCGATAGTGTCGTATACCATCCCAACGAATATCTCGGGGCCTCCTACATGCTTGACCACTGTTTTATATGGTAAGCAGTCAACCTTGATATTCGTAGAGTTTCCCGATAGCAAGAATTTGACCAGCGCAGTGATAGTATATTTCAGGTCTGGGAAAGCTATCTTCAACACGCTGTCAGCCCGGTGCATCCAATCTTTGTTTTAGTGGTAATAGTGGTGCAGTCGTTACCTCGACGATAGGTGGGGAAAGTTCAAGGCCAAGGCCAACATCGTTCCCAACTGCAGCAACGGGTGCAATAGCAGTAGAGTCCTTATTCGATCTCGAAGGGCAGTTACTCATCTTGTAGCCCTTCTTGTGGCACCGGTAGCACTCGGGTCCGAACTCCGTGCAAGTGTTTTTCCGGTGGCCTACTCGCCCGCAGCCTTTGCAGATCGGTGCAGCATTGGGGGCTTGGGGGCAGCTATGCTTAGGAGTAAGGGTATGGTGGCAATACTGACAGAACCGATGGCATTCATGGCGCCAATGGCCTTCATAGCCGCATCTGCTGCAATATGATGTATGGAGAGGCATTTTCGAGGGCTGTTGTGAACAATAACAATGAAAAGGGGTGATGGAATGAATAACTTATCTCGGTGGGGGGTGCGTGCAAGTTTAGATAATCAGCAGAGGCTTCTGGTGAGCCTAAGGTTACTGAACTATAGGGGTCACCTGGTAAGGCACCGTGTAGGTTTGTGTGACGTTGTGAGCACCACACTCAAGTGCTCCCCTGCTTACATCTGGATGTTATGGACTACAATACTAGCCCAAGCTAAATGAATAGCATAAACTAGTGTAAAGACACCATCTTACCAAGTAGGCCAGAGAGACATATATCACTGGCTAGTACTCAAGCTGACGGAGCAACAAATGTCTCAACATACTGTAGTCACCTACCGTGACCCAGAACACATATGCACTCAAACATTCAATATATGATAGATGGCATCAACTTTCCATATGTGTCACTTGTCAAATGAAAGAGGAGCTATATTATTATGAAATAGAATGGCTTAATACAACAGTTTGTAGCCAAAACCTTGATCCAGGGATGTTGTTTCGAGATCCGTGCTCTGTTCCAGATTAGTTATATAGCTATTATAACTATGTTGAGGCATCTGCCGGAGTAGGCGTAGTCACGTGCCTGGCGCTCAGACCGCCCACGAACGACCCCTTATCTTGACCGCTAGATCACCTTGATAGCTACAATTCAAGACACTCTTTTGCTGCAATTCGCGTTCGTTTTCGTTGCTTCGTTGCTTTGCTTTGCTAGTAATCTCGCACCTCAACATTATATATATATGATAAATTGTACAACTTGCCAAGCGTGCTAGTCAGTGTGGCCGAGTGGTTAAGGCGTCAGATTCGAAATCTGATACGTTCGCGTGCACAGGTTCGAATCCTGTCGCTGACGATGTATAATTAATTTTTTTTTTTTTTTTTTCTTTTAGCTCTGTTATCTTTTTCTTTCTATTATTGCTAATATTATTAATTTATTAAAAATATGTATTCAAAGTCATTGACATGACCTGTCATACAGTAAAGCACCCATATAAGCAACCACTGATATAGGGAATCCTCCACTACAAGCAACGGGACATGGTGTTCAAATTGCTACACTATACAAATCTCCTCGTTTCTAGGCGGCTATTCTCTCTTTCTTGGGTCTTTACAATATGGCTCAAAAGTCTCAGGACATCCCGCTCCCGCGCAACGCGCGTCAAAAATCTTACCATCTTCAACAAACCACTATACCACCAAGATGAGATATTTTGGAACAGAAATCAGTGTAAATCATAGTTATTCTTATAAACTTTCTCCTGAAACATATTCTATAATTTTATTTAGACTAGAAGTAAAATAATCTTCAGGTAAACTAGCCAAGCAATTCAGAATCTTTGTGATAGGATCTACTTGTCAGGGTAGAAAGCCTGTTAACTAGGTAAGGAATCAGCTATTAAATATAATAGATTCATTTAATAATAATAAAGATAGCTTATATCCACAAGATAAACTCAGATAGATCTTGGTACTAAAAATAATTCAGATAATTAATTATCCCATTTTTAGCTGCTCCGCGGTTAGATATAAGAGAATCTTACATCTAACTGTTAACTATTCGGCAGGTAGAAATTTGTCCCTTAACCTACCCTACCCTGGCCGTTAACCACTCTTAAGTATAATTATATGTCTGGTGCTCAGGCCGCCCACAAATAATCTCTTACTTTATTTTACTAGAATACCTAGATAGCTACTAATTCAACTCACACTTTTACTACAATTTCGCGTTCGTTTGCTTGCTTTTCTATTGTTTCGTAGCTTTGCTAGTAATCTCGCGCCTCGACACTTTACGTACTAAGCAATCTGCAAACTGAAGTTTTGGCGGATTCATTTCTGTATGCTCTGATGCCCAGCGTGCAACGCAGCTCCCAGAGCACTGTGGTATCTCCCACGAGACTGTTCCCAGGGATTGTTAGCTCCATGATAAATAAGTACGTCCACAGCCTTTTCATGACCTCCAAAAGCAGCAGCTTGCAGTGTATCACCGAAATGACCTCCGTACCCTTGAACATCAGCTTTGTAAGCAAGAAGGAGCGACATTATCTCTATGTTGCCCCGGCTTGCAGCAGCCTGAAGGGCATCTCCCAGCTCATGATCTTCTTCGTTTGGATCTGTACCCTTCTCAAGCAGACATTTAGTGATTTCAAAATTGTTGATGATGACAGCTGCGCGAAGAGGAAAGCCGTATCGTCCTCGAAGCTTGATATTAGCTCCAGCATCAAGAACTAGCTGTACTATTGACAGCTTCTCACTTGCAATAGCAGCCGCGAGCGCATTGCTAAAGAAACCTTTTTCCTCGTTTATGTCGGTGCAGCTTTGCAATAGCAGCTTTGCTCTCCTCATCTTGCCTCCCGCGAGGGCTTATTTGAAGGGGATCAGGCCTGATTTCTGGAGCAAAGTCTCCAACATCCCCTGCCATAAGCCGCTGGAAATTTGGAATATTCCCTTTGAAAGCTGCGGTCTGTATGGCATCATCGAATTGCTGCTGTGTAGTAAGCTTGACCCCAGCATCAAGCAGGAGTTCTGCAACTGCATTTTTATCACTCGCCAAAGCCGCCTGCAGGGGACTGTAATATTACCCCTACCCCCTTCTGGGCACAGACGAAGAGGCGCCATGATGGATCAGAAGCTGCACTATTTCCGTCAAACCCCAAAAACACGCCGCTCGAAGTGCATTCTCGTACTGAAACCCCGGTGCGTCTATATTGGCTTCCAAGTCTAGGAGCTTCTGAACAACCATGATGTGGCCACCACGAGCTGCCAGGTATAGCCCAGAGCTTCCATCTTTGTTTGTCTGGTTCACATCCAAATCCTCAACATTATTGTTATTCTCAAGCATTTCCACGAATCCAAAGCGGCAGATCAAAAATAGCGGTGTTCGTGGAGTGCTTATTGAGGCATCAAGCTTTCTTTCATTTGTAGATTTCTACCTAGAACTGCCTTTTCTGCTGTAGCTCGAAATTGTCCAGCCAGTCATCAAAGTGCTCTTCTTTTGTAAAGAAGTCTGTGAGACGAGGAACAACTTTGGCTCTCTGGGGTGCACACCCAAGGTCCTCCACATGAGATGGCCAATAGTTTGTAGCGTATTTGAGAAATCCATTTTCACCACAACCTTCGCCCAGATATGCACCCAGGCACCTCAGGGCCATGCTATAGCACACTTCTTTATCGCGATAGATCTCAACGGATTCGAGATATCTGTAGATTGTGTCAGCTGCTACGATTTGGGTACAGGCTGATCTGATGATAATTAATCTCGAACCGTCGGATGAGCGAGCCTGAACGTATTTGTTTCGTTATCTATCACCACCAAGCCACAGCAGTAATCAATGATGGTCCCCGATTGCAGAGTCGACAAGCACCTTGCCGAACGTGCTACGGCGATAAGAAAATCTGGGATAGGGAGCATTCGTTTCGCACCCAGAAGCCAGTAAAACGTAAATCTAGCCACTTCTCTGGCAGTTACCTTCATTGACTCAATTCGGCAATGAATGGCGGCGTAGGATCGACCAAGCGTTGCAGGTAGAGATTTTAGAGCTTCATAAATACTTTCCAGGTCTTTAACTTGCGAGGTATCACTGATACATTCGAGTTGCAGCGACACCCATAGGAACCTGTAATATTAAGTCAGAGAGCGATTCTTAGAACGACCTTGGCCCCACCCACATTCCTTGTGCTCCAGTAATAAGTATCTCTTTCAGGTCCTTCTCCAGCTGTTGTAGTATATCGCTTGCCTCGCTGTGTAGATCGGCCCATCTTAACACAAACTTGCTCACGCGGAGAGCAATGAAGTGTTTGAGATCATCTTCAGTGCCTTGCGGTGTCACACAAAGAGTCCGTTTCTGTCTGAATCCAGTAGCAATATCCTCTTCGTATCGACTGGAGATAAATAATTTGACCAGATCGCGACAGCTCTGACACATTTCTTCGAGAGAATGCTGCAGTATCATACCCTGCTGTGAATCACATTCATCAAGAGCATCGATAATTAGTATGACCGAGGCTGACTGGCCAAGCTCACACAAAAGCTCGGTGCACCTTTCTACAGACAAAGCAGCTGGCCCTTCACCATAGTAATTTGCTTCTTTAAGGCGTTTCCGATACTCCTCGATGACTGGAGTCCTCATCAGATCGTTACTAGCGGATAGAGAAAGCTGCTTTATGAGTGATCGGAGTATCTCCCCAGCATCGCCACGCTCTGGTTCCGCCGGGTTTCTCGAGCAAAAAAAGTGTACTATCGGCAGGGAATGCTGTACTTTACTAGCCTGAAGGCATAAATGCTGTACGACAGCAGCACTTTGTCTGTATTAGTTAAGGGCTAACGTCGTTAGTCCCTAATTGAGCAGACTCACGCGATCTTGGACTTTCCGCAGCCGGCTTCTTGTCAATTTGATAGGGAAACTTTGGAATATCATAGTTCAACCCACGTGTCCCATGCAATCAAAGCACCTCAGAGCTACTAGAATTGCTCCATGCCTGGAATTCAGGGTGACGGAAAAGCCATTCTGCAGAGCCTGGCATCAGCGATGTTGATGCCTCACGAAGATGTTTCTGAGCCGGGACAGCTGATATCCAGCTCAGGGTTTGGTCCCTCTCGTTGTCTAAACATGTTTAGTTTGTGTGGAAGCGTATGTCAAGCAGCTGGCTAATACCTTTCAGAGCTCGATGAAGGTCGGAAACTTGATCCACAACTCGTGTTACTGGCTTATCAAGGTCCAGGAGGGCTTTTTCTAGTTTTGCTTTCATATCATTGACCTGGTCCGCCGTTGATGTAGCTATAAGGATGGTGTGCAAAACGTGTCTCGATATTACCTAGGTCTAGAATAAAGTTTAGTCGAACAAATCTCAATCCTGACGTTCTAGACTCACCTTCGCTATCAGCGAGCCCCTTCTGTATCAGAAATTGCTGCTCGGCACTCTTTATTTCCTTGGTGCAGTGTCTAAAATCGTCTTTGGACATGAAGGCAACCGCACGTTCTAGTCACCAAATATTGGCCACTGAACAACGAAACAAAGTCTTGAAACCAACATACTCGTTCGCGAGCACTGATAATATTTCCTCGCCAGAGACAAAAATTTCAAGACCGCTGTATAGCACTTGACGATTTCATCTTGCAAGGCCTGTCTTGCTTCACTCAGCGCAGAGTTCTTCTGATAATATGAACCTTCGAGTATTCCACCCCGCGCAATGACCCTCACAGACGTCTCGAGCCCCTCCACAATAGCACCGAAAGTTTCGATTCCGTTCAAGAACAGCTGAAGCACAAAGCGCACTCCTGCCCAAGGTAGTGCCGCATGGACCGGGTCATAGGAAACAACGATATCGACCACACTGGCAAACTTGTTCATGCAAGCTACAATTCGCAAGCTACAATTTTCGCGCATACATCACGAATGATGATCTCCTTGCCACCGATGGTGGTGGTCGACCATTTGTGGCGTTTGCAACGATCGCGCTGCATTTCGATTGCAGTGATGATGTCGGTCAATGTCTGTGGGACTGGTGGTGATGCAATGCCTGACGTGGGAAACATGCGCTGATCTTTGTCTGGGAGGGCGGAGAGGGCTCTCGCCCAGAGGGAGGTGGTCATTCTGTGTGAAATTTCTCCCTGGTAGCAACTCTTGTGGTAGGTGCGACGTGATCCTTTAGCGAATAATTGGATGCGGAAGGTATAGATCTCATAGCTGGTACAAAATGTTGGGAGGAAAGGAGGCAGCGAGGCCTGATATGGGACGGTGGCTGACAAGGCTGAGAAGGGATCGAGCGGGGTTGCCATGTTTGCTTATGCAAATGCTTATCACTGTCATATTATATCTTTCGCTGTGTGAAGTGTATCTGCGGCGTACTATAATATACTGTCCCAGAAAGGATGGGTCATCACGTAAAATCTAAAGGGCGAAGAGACTTCTTTTCCATGTGGTGAGTGCCCAGGGAAACGTAAGCTTGAAGTATATTGCTGCGGAGTAGTAGGGGGATCTTGGCTTCGTTAGTAGGCTATCGGTTTGCCAGCGTCAAACAACCAAATTCACGTAAAAGTGATGCCATTAGCAGAGCTAGGCAAAGAGAAGCAAGGACATGAACTTGCTAATCATCCTAATGGGGGGGGTGGGGGTGACTGGACGGTACTGACTAGTTCAATCCATATGACTGTAGCAGCTACTTGAAGCGACTGTATGATGATTGATGATATTGTAGTGGTAGCGGAGGAAGAGGGGTCCTCGAAGCTATACTAGATGGTCTAATCATACAGAATAGGAAGGAATATGTAATCATGTGACAATGACGATTCTTTACCGTAGCAATCAGTAGTAAGTAGTTTAGGATCCAGTGGAAATTGATAGTGTCCTCACTGTCTATCAAATGGAATTTTTGTAAACTATATATAGCATTATTTAGTACATTCTCAGTATTTGCCAACTACTGGAAAAGTATTGCATTCCATCATCTATATATTGAAGGCTTCTTCTCTGGATCGTCTGCGTTTGTTTGCCTCATACAAGAGGAAGCTTGGTAAGGTGTCAGGACGCATCCCGTATGGTTTCTAGCAGAACTGGTGAGAATTCGATAAGATTTAGAAGTCTGGCAGACTATCCAACTGAAAGGAATTTGTGCCACTTGATTAAATTCTCGTGAGCTTGTCAGTTTCATTCTAGACCAATTTGATACAAGCATTGCTATCCTACACATTCTCCCATAATGTACAGACCTCCATACTACCAACAGAGAAAGTATCCCATGAGAAAAGCCATACTCCATATCACTTCACTGAAGCCAACTAACCCAATCCAAACCCCTCGAAGCACGACCCCCTCGCCATCCCCTCCGTAGTAAACTCGACCCCTTCCTCCTCCAACATCCTCTTCTTCATCCCCACTCCATCCTTCGCTTTCTTCTTTGCACCTCCTGACCCCTCAGCACCGGAGTACCCCACCAGCAGCTTCCCGTTACCCCCAAGCACCCGATGACAGGGCACTTCCGGTGCAAACGGGTTCAGACGCATCGCGGCCCCAACTGCTCGTGGACTAGTACCAATATGCTTAGCAAGCGCAGCGTATGTGGTCCAACGGCCTGCAGGGACGGATAGCAAAGCAAGGTAGATTTTACGGCGGTGAGAGGGGAGGGTGGGATGTGTGGTTATTTTCTTGATCATTTTTGTTTTGATGTCTGCGGTTGTTGGTTGCGGGGATGGTTGTGTAATAGCCTTCTGTTGTTGTTCTTGTGGTTGGTGTTGCGTTTGAGGTAAAGCCATGGTTACAGGCCCAGTGCTCTGTTGGTATGTAGTATTTCGCCTGGATGTATGATTGGATGGTGATGGCTGCCGTTGTTTGTGTGAGGATGTTATATTTAGACAGTAGTAGACAGGGGCAAAATTAGTGATGATGGTTTCTTTGTTTGTTTGATGTTCGACCGTTGCAGGATAAATAAGGTACGGAGCACAGAATATGTTGTGTTGGTGTGGGATGAGATAACTTTCTTTGTCCTTTTCCCGTTTGTTTGTGATCCTTATCGGATAATGATGTTGGGTAGTACTAGTAGTAAATGAGATGATGAGCTGAGATGAGATAACTATGGATGAGGTACCCGTTTCTGCTTTGTTTTGTGTCCGAAACTTCACTCAATAGGGAATTAAGTTCAGCGATTAAGGGGTACAAGCTACTGTTTGTGTTGGGTTAGCTTGATCTTCCTTTGTATTGTGGATGGCTATTTTTATACCTATAGTATAACGGATCACTCAAAACAAGGACAAAGTGGTTTGAGGTTTGGTGGGTAGGTAGTAGTACTAGATGGAAGCAAAGTAGATGGTGGCACAACCGTTTGATGTTACCGTAGAACGTTGTTCTTTATATGCAGAACTGCAGAGCGAGAGAGGGGTCTGGAACTTGACTCCGCAACGTTGTGCTCGAATTGACGAATCGGGTGGTTCCGTGCACATGACTGTCTCCATTCCTGACTGGTGTGGCACGGCATGCTTCCATGGTTGGAGAAATCTAGCCATTCTATGGTTCGTCTCATTCATGATTCTTTATGCGTTTGAATATGATGGAATTGCAGCATTCGCCGGGATGGCAGCGGGGTGGAATCTGATGCGATGCACTGCCGTTAGGCCCAGGCCAGACTTACCGCGATGGCGCACAAACGTTGCTTCTGGTGTCACCCCGGTAGTCATAGTAAAAATAGCACCAGGCTCAATTAGCATAGTCGTAGGATTACAATGTCGGTTCACTATTTCGGTGGATTGAAAGACGGGATGTGCGTTTCATCCATAGTCGCTAGAAGAATGTCAGTGTGCCACAGGCTGAGGTGGGGATTCTACTGCGGGATAAGGACAGTTATATGCCGATATGTTTGGATTAGTTACATCTTACTGTTCCACTACCCGATGTGATTACCTGCAGCGCAGGCGTGGCGAGAATTACACTGGCTTCGTTCACTTTGCCGTCGCTGAAACCAGTATGTTTCTCCCGAGAAGACGGACGTTGCATGTTGTGACATGTTGAAGGTAATGTATTAATAAACTTGTGACTGGTACACAATGTCTATGTGTATAAGAAAACCAAATGAAATGGTATATGCCAAAAGGAAAATAGATAGAATGAGGTCCGGAACGCCATACCGTCCGTGGGTCATCGACAACATGAAGAAGCATAAGCATAAGCATAGACATGAGAAGCATAGCGGACATAGACGGACGTAAAGTGCCATGGGTGATCACCCGGCAACAAACAGAAGGGTATATTCAACAGCATCATGACGCAAAGGGTATAAGGCAGAGGAAAAGCATCATGACACTAATCGGTTCGCGACCGCTTGGTCGTCCGACGCTTAGGGACATCCCAGTGGTGAAACGAGCGCAGGTGTTCAATCAGATGGTCGCGACGCGGAAACCCATTGCCATCCTTGCGCAGACATTCTTGTACTGGGCAGTCCTGAAAGACGGGGTTGTGGACGCTGGTGTGATGCCGTTTCAGGTCGGCGGGACGTGTGAACGCCTTGCCGCAGTCGCGGCATGAGAAGGGTTTGACGGGTCTGGCCAGGTCCATTAGATTACGGTCGGAAATTTTTTTGTTAGGGCGGAAACCATACCTAGAGTTGTCTAATGCGTCGCAAGTCTCTTCCGGAGAGTATACGACCTCAGTGCTGGGAGTGGTGGATTGCGGTGCAACCCATTCCCCGCCCGGAACAGGTACCGGAGGTGTTTGTGTTTGAAGGAAAGTGTATGTTTCCGGCGAGTACATGAGAGAAGGAGTGAAGTTGTAGTAGGCGTTGAAGGGAGAGGAATTGACGGATGATGGGAAGGAGGTGGAGTCGTAGGAGGATGGTTCGAAGGAAGGTTGGGTCATGGGCAGATCGGTCGCCGCCATGGTGTACATGGTGTTATCGAAATATCCGAAAGCCGATTGCATGGAGTCATCACTGCTTTCCGAATAGGATCTTTGTTCGAGAGGAGGGCATGATGGAATATTGTGGTGCTGCGGCGGGAAGGTCAGTTGGGGAGTGACGCGCGAGGGAGCGAACGAGAGAGGTGAGAGGAGGAGGGAAGAGTGGAGACGGATCGAGACCCTGATGATCGGGGAAAACATACCATTGCAGTGGAGGCAAACATGATGGAGTGTAGGATGGGGAAGAATCAATTGGTAGGAGGGACAGGACCAGCAGCTCAATGGCCGAATTGTTCTGGAAGAAAAATGGAAGACTTGCCTGGCCATCGTGACTGGGCCCCGGGTTTTTATAACCACAATTTTCTTCAATTCTTTGATCCAGGTCGACCTACGGAATACGTCGCACTTGCATTAGGCCAGGACGGTGGTCTCCACCATGGAGCCCAAAACCGCCAGAGCCAGACGGTGCTAAGCAACACGAACGCACCCACGGCGACATCATCAGGTGAGCCCGCTCCTATGATCTTCCACTAGGAGTCCGCGCAGATTGGATGGGGGAGGTCGGGAATGCAGGAGGAATCGCAGCCAACACACAGCCCCCCCGGCTCTGAGCGCTCATTGGCGAGGGTGAGCCACGAAAGTGAAGCAATCCTGGCTAGTGCTGACGCTAGAAACGCCGAAGAAGCATTCGAAACTTCTTCCAGGCTTCCAGAGGCCTTCCATGGCTGTGATTGGCAGAGGCCGAGTCTTGGGACGGAAAATAACCAGCGATGGTGTCCACTCCGGGCCGAGAGAGGAGCCAGACGAGCCAGACAAGAAAGACGGACTCGCTGTGTGGCCTGCTGAAGAAGGAAAAGGACCGGAACGAGGGTCTGCGGTGACACGACAGCGAGACCGCAATATCGTCATAGGGTGCGATCCCCCACAACAACAAAGAGTCGGTGGAGCCCGTCGGCCGTGCTGGAACTGGCTGGCTTTGGACTAGAAAGATTTTCTGGGACGGACTACTGACGATGATGATGATGATGACCGACCGATGTGGATGTGCTTTTTTTTTTCCTTTACCCCTTCCCAAGACGCCAATTCCCTAGTCGGGAATTCGTCCGTTTGTTCGCCTTGTTGTGGTCCGACATGGCCATTCGTTAAATGAAAGGCACGCGGACCGTTCATCGGAAGGCTCCGATGATTAAATGTAGTAACAGTAAGAAGATCTGATCCTCTTTTCTAGCTTTGCAATTGATTGTTATGATTGATCGCTTGCAATCCACGGTCGCGGAGAGAGCGGCTCCTCCACCAAAGAAAAAAGTACGAACGAACCACGAGTCTTGTCACAAATGAATAACTTTGGGGCTCTGGGGAAAGGAGTAAGGCAGATCTGACGGAAGTGTCACTCCTTGCTTGAATTCCCATCAACCTGAGTGGATGATTTTGACCCTGGTGATGGGTGCACTGTGCAGCCTGTTCCTGCTGGACGGGAATTTCGCTATTTCTCCCGACCGACCGAGGAGATGGAGTAAATCGGCACGGGCTTTCCGGGCGTTTCGTCAACCGCTTCTCCCACACATTTTCCACCCGCCAAGTGCGCGATTCCACAGCCTTGTGGTTGGTGCCAAGCAGCGTCTGTCTGGGGAAAACAGCAGGGACTGGTACACTCTGGCTCCCTATGACGACGACAACCTTGGGGATGGGGAATGATAGTATCGCACAGCCCCCCCTTGCGACCGGGGTGAAGGTTGATGATGATGACCACTTCCCCGGGCTAAGTTAGTACCTAGATAGCGAGCAGGATTGAAGCTCATCAATGCAAGTGTAAAATGCCTCACATCGGTGCTAAAGAATTGCTTCAATCCTTCCCGTGAGTGATTAATATGTCAGAAGGTTTAAACAAGTGAGGCGACTGCGCGATATTCTCCTGATAATCTCTCATTTGCTTCACCATCGCGATGGGACAATCTATTCTTGTACATTCACTGACAATCACAACACCCGCAAGTGGCTTAGCTTGGGGTTTCCTCCTATTCACCGCCTGCTACGAATGCGACGAATGCTGCCTGAGGTCTGGCTTCAATTACTACACCACATCACAATTAGAGATACTCCACAAATATTCACCGTGCACTTGAATTAATCTACTTAATCAGGTTTACTGAGAACATGGTGAAACCAAAGCAGAGCACTGAAATGTAAACTGAAGCAATTCTGAGACCGGCAAAAGTAATTGTCGCGGAGGCTGGGCCGCCAAGAATAGCACTACCATAACCTTCCAATTACAGCAGGCGGTCAGACAATGCCATAACCCACCACTAGTAGTATTATTCTTCCTACAACTTTGTGCCATGTGGATCGCGACAATTCATCCAGTTGTCGGGCAATCCACAGAGAGCCTCGGACGGAGGACATTATTCCGTACTAACTCTGTCAAGTGCGTCACGGGGAAAAAGAAGAGCTAACGGAGAGGTGATGAATTGATCGCTACCGAGGTTTTGCCCTTTAGTGTTTATCGCACTAAGTAGAGACTTACTTCAAGGGGAAAATTGAGTGATTAAGTTGGTACTTTTGTACTACACAAATTCCGATCTATTTAGTGTTTTCCTTTTTCCTTGGCTTCACTATTGGTTGGATGTGTTAATCATCATCCAGCCACATCATTATCATCCCACCCGTCTAGGGAACTTAGTGCTTGTTCCTATCTTCTTTCTCTAGGTATCCCTGAGTACGGGGTTAGTTAGTTAGTCTAACTATGTTTCTGGGCGTTTTCTGCAAGCGCCGCTCACTTGACAGGGATTTCCTTGCCGATTTTACCGATCAACAGAGTAAACACACTTCAGACCAGGTTTGGTCAAGTACTATGGACTCGATTATTCCATCTCAAATGGTCAATGTACGGTAACAACAAGCATCACTACCTAAAGTCATGGCTGCATCCCATAAGCTACCATGTAAGAACAGCACAGAACTCCCATGTCTCGTAGACTCGTCCCTGCATGCTCCCCCCCCTCCGAAGACTTGGATGAAACAACAGATCGTTAAACAGATGGCAACACAATCACCAATTGCATAGACACATTGATTAAACTTAACTCCCATATTTCCGTGCATCCTTGCTAATAAAGCCAAACCCAACCGACCGAGGCACTTTTCCACTTATCTTCATCGAACCCAGCCATGTACAGAGACCTCTCATGTTTGTGCATCATTCGATTACAATTCATCCTCCAGGTATTTGTAGACGAACTTGAAGTCAGCCTTACGACGGTTCATCCTGCAAGGGTTGTGTTTGTTAGCGGGATTCTTTCTGTGGTCCTCGGGAATTCCGAGTGGGTTACTTACCATGTACTTTCATAATCGAAGAAGCGATATGTGCCCTGCTCGAACTCCTCTGTGATCGTCTTCGGCTCCTCGTGACGTTGGAACCAGGTTTGGTATTGCTTGTGAAAACGCCAGCTTTGGTTCTTCAATGCCTTGGCCGCGAGATACTGCTGGTAACTGCCTTGTCGGTAGTAGAACAGGTAGAACAGTGTATCCGTGTCGATGCGCCCGGTTTCGTACAAGCGCGGATCATCAAAGATAGTGAGCGGTTCCTGAGGATAGTATAGAGGCGTATTGTAAGGGTTCTGAGGCTTGTAATGGCGAGGCTTCTCCGCATCGGCAGGTTCCGGGCAGTTCGCGAGGGATGTTGCAAGCATGCGCTGCACTGACGGGGACGCGTTGGCTGCGCTTGCTGACGCCCGGGACCTCGTGACCTCGAACGACTGAATAAGATCCTGCAGGCCGGGAGGCAGGTGGAAGATCGATTCCTCGCTCTCCTGCTCCTCTTGCTTACTCGTCGCCTCACCGTTCGGCGCGGGCTGCTCCTTGGCAGCTGCTGGGGCCTCCGCTTTCTCCATTGTTTGTGACGATGTGCTCGCAGCAGCCACGTTGGGGCTGACGGAAGGTGTTTTTGATCGTGCTCCGGTGATGTCCTCCGCCGCTATCGTGAGGACCGGAGCGGGCTTGGATGAAGTAGGTTGTACCGATGCAACGCTCGGCGAGGCAGTGGCTGAAGCTTTGTTTGCAGGCACAGCGTGCGGGAAAGCGGGGCTTGCGCCTGGAGGTGGCGGAAGTGGTGCAATGCCCACCCCGTTCTTGTCACTTGCTGCAGCTGCAGCGGCAGCGGATGCGTACTTGAGTGTTTCTCCGGGGAGGCGGGTAGGCGGTGGTGCGGGTTTCATGCCTGAGGCGGCAGTCGTGGAGGTCGACGGATGGAGTGTTGCTAACACAGGTAGAGGCGATTTCATCTGTGCAGATGGCCTTCGAAGTCCTGCGCTCTCACCCTTGTTGACCTTGGGCTTGATTTCCGGCTCCTCGTCTTGAATCGATTGCGTATCTTGCGAGGATACCTTATCGTTGTCCCCTGTCATGCCGAACTGCACCTCTGCCTCGTTGTCCAGGTTCAGGTCGTCGTACAAGGTTTCATCCTCACCAGAGTAGTCAATGTTGTGCCCATCCTCCACATAGTACTTGATACTTTCCTTGATATCCAGCACCTGAGGGACTTCGAGGTTTCCGTTCTGCAGCGACCGTAGCAACAGTTCCAACTTATTGACATGCCACTTATGGCGATCTGTTAAGCGTGAAAGGTCTGACAGGCGATTCGTCTTGGCCACATCCTTCTTGCCCTTCTTCATTTGCATGTGAAGCGTTTCCTCTTCGGCTTCGAAGGATTCGATCTTTTGTTGCAGCTCGTCCACCATGTTCGATAGGAAGTCGCAAGTCTCGACCTTCTCCTTCTCTTTGGGATCTAACCTGGATGCAGCCGACAACCCTTCTTTCGAATATGCCTTTGTCTTCATCTCCTTCTCTACCGCCTTGAACTGTTCCATGCACTATCAGATAACACAAGTTAGCAGCAGCCCCTCATTGAGTAAGCGCTTCAACAGGGATCGGATAAGCCCACAGTCTCAATGGCCCTGCGCTGCTCTAGCAGCGGCCCCTTGTCTTTGACCTCGTTTCCTGATGCCCATGATTTGATTTGGTCACGATATCGTTGTAGCTTCTTGATCTCCCGTTTCAGGTTCTCCTCGAGCTTATCCCGTTGCGTGATATTTGATGTTGACCGGATCTTCTCATAGATACCCTCAAATGTTTGAATACCCTCGGCAACCTTCTTGAAGGTCTTGTCGATCTCCTGCTGCGTCTTCCGGGACGTCATTGCTGCGATTTACCATGCACAGGTCGGTAAATCTCGAAGGCTGGTCAGGATACAGGTAGCAGGAGGATGCGGGAGGGGGTCGAAGGAATGGAACAGAGGGAGATGAGTGCGTATGTAAAGAAAAGATGAATACTATGAGAACGCGTCACGAAGCAACTCTCAACACCAAACGCGCGCGAGCGTGTCTGTATATGCGAAGCTCTTTAGACGAGTGAATCTCCTGATACTTTGTCTGGTCGTCCAGAAGCTGGGATAGAGGCCTAAAAGGGTAGGCGGTCACAAACGCTCACAAGCACTCACATTCATGCCCCGTTCTCTACTTTGGGTGGAGGCGAAACCAGGTTCGAGATTCAACCATTTCGCACAGCTGCTCATATTGCTGTGGATCTGTTTGAAGTTATTGATGATCTAGCCATTCCAGGATGATTTACGTCTGCCTCCGCATCCGCTAATGTCCTGAGAATATTAGGTCTGTGTGTTTCCCGTTTTCAGTATCCCGCCGCATTTGGTCCGTCCGTTGATCATCAAGTGACTGACTGACAAACCCCCATTTACATAGAAAGCGCAACAACAATTCCGACAGTCTTCAGAGCCCTATCTCCTCAGCGCATGCTGCCCTACTCCTTACTCTTTTAAACGACACATCAAAGATCACCATGAAAGGTGCGCAATGCAATCTCACCCGACCTTCTAACCAATAGCTAATTATTGCGTCGCCCCTCAGCCGTCCTACAACGAGTCAAGTCCGCCTCGGTCACCGTGGATGGCCACCTAATCTCCTCAATCGGACAAGGCATTCTCGTCCTTGCCGGCGTAGGAAAGGAAGATACCGAGAAAGATGCCGACTCAATGATCGGGCGGGTATTGAAGGCGAAGCTATGGCCCGACGAGAACGACAAATCGGTATAATATACAACCCAATACCCTTCCCCGCAATACCAATCCAGCTTATTCTAACCCACCTCTCCCAACAACCAGTGGAAGAAGAACGTGCAGGACATAAATGGAGAGATTCTCTGCGGTATGCGCAACCTCACTTAACCAACACAAACCAAACCAAAATCAAGAAACCCACCCACTAACTATACATACAATAATTCAGTATCCCAATTTACACTCTACGGCCACCTTAAAAAGGGCAACAAGCCCGACTTCCATGAAGCCGCCGACGCGGAGACCGCGCGCAAACTGTATGATTACTTCATTCAACGGTTGAGCGAGTCGTACAAGCCCGAACGGGTGAAGAACGGGGTCTTCCAGGCGATGATGGAGGTCGAATTGAAGAACGACGGGCCGGTGGGTGTAGATTACCGCAGTGAAGATGCGGTGGTAAAGCTCTTGCCTTCTCCTCTTCCTGCTAATTCCTATATGTCCTCAAAATTTATGCTAACCGTGCTGTGTTTGTTGTTTGGCAGGTTACGATCGAGATTAATACGCAATTACCGAAGAAGGAGAAAAAGGAACAACCGCCTGGCAAGGAGGATGGAAAGCCGCAGACATTCGAGTTTAAGTTGCCGGCGGAGTTGATGGAGTGAACTGTTTCTTCGATGGATGGATGAATATATGTTGATTCCTCTTGCGGTCGGAAAAAAGAAGAAATGATTGTGGGTGGCTATGACGGCCGACGGACCAACTTCTTTCAAGTCAAATTGTATATACCATGTGATACCAATCAATAGATGCGAGGCATAGACGGGTGTGCTATGTAACTGGGACTACTTGAAACTTGCTACCGAATATTACATAGAACAGCTACCGCTCGTACAGGTAGCATCTGGTGTTTCGTGGATTTCCAGCATGGTTTGTGTACTAGTGCATGGTGTATCGGGCTGTGCAATTCTGAAAGGCCCAAGATCTGGCAGGCAAGGAAGTTGTTACTACTGTACTAGTAATGGATCACGGCCACGGACCGTAAGAAGCCTACGATTCTCAAAAGTATAGATGAAAGATACGTTCATCGACCTGGTTTCGTAGCGCATAACGCTACTTTACCTGCGGGACTCGATTGCTTTCTATTGTACAGAGTGCTCTGGTCTGCTGAACCGCATAGCCTAGAAGCCAACTCGAAGCGAAGCGCAAAGCCCGTACGTCGTTGCATAGCCGCTGAGGATGAGTAAAGGTCTTTGAAAGAATTCCTATTGTGCACCAATCCAATGCAATGGTTGTAAGAGAGATTAGACTTAGTTCTCACTTTTCACCCAAGGCCGGGGATTTTAAGAAACGGGAAAATTAAATCATGCAATCATGAATCATGACGTTGGTCTCTTCACGAGAAGAACTTCTGAGCGGTAGCCCTCTCGCGAGCCTGGCGGTCCTTGACGGCCTTCTTGACCCGGGCAATCTCGTTGGTAATGCCAGCATCACCAGGAGCCAGCTGAGAAGCCTCCTGGAGATCCTTGAGAGCCTCATCCTCCTCCTTCAGACCGCTGTAGGCCACCGCGCGGCGGTAGTAAGCCTTGGCCTTGTCGGCATCCTTGGCGTTTGCAGCAGCAGCAGTTTCGAGAGCATAAGTAGCCCAGGTCTGGCCATTCTTGAACTGACCAAGCTTGTTAGCAAGCAGAGATGAGTTCGAGTGCAGAGTGAAGCGGAGCGCCTTCATCTGGGGGTCCAGATCCTTGGGGTCCTGCTCATCGGGCTCGGGGAACTCGTTGAGATAACGCAGACCCTTCTGGTATTTCTCGAGACCGAGGGTCAAGTTTCCGCTCTTGAAAGCGGTGTTTCCAAAGTTCTTGAGCTCGGTCGCAATCTTGAAGCAGACAGGGGCGCTCAGCTCCTCTCCCTGGTGGTCATCGGGGAAGTCCTCATAAGGATCGCCAGTCGCGTCGGGGATCTGCTTATCAGCGTTTTCGTACTCGTCGCCGGTAAGCTCTCCGCAGTCGACAATAGTGACGTCGGTGGTGGGCTTGTCGGCCTGGGTAGACATGTTCTCGACCTTGCGGACAACGCTCTTGCCGTTGATCACCTCACCGAAGACGACGTGCTTGCCATCCAGGTGGGGGGTGGGCACGGTTGTGATGAAGAACTGACTGCCGTTGGTGCCGGGGCCGGAGTTGGCCATGGAGAGAAGGAAGGGACGGTCATGCTTGAGGTCGAAGTTCTCGTCAGGGAATTTCTCGCCATAGATCGACTCGCCGCCCGTGCCGTTGAACGCGGTGAAGTCACCACCCTGAATCATGAACTGCTTAATGACACGGTGGAAGATGGAGCCTATCGAGCGGTGTTTTGTTTAGTGATATGTTCTGGTGATTTTGTGTACTTTCTGCGCACGCGGCCCCGCCGGAGCGGGGGAGGGGGAGGAAAAACTGAAGCTGCCGAATTGGACCACCGTACCTTTGAAGTGCAATGGCTTGCCCTGCTTGCCCATGCCCTTTTCGCCAGTGCACAGAGCCCGGAAGTTCTCCGCAGTCTTAGGAACGACTATTATTTGCCCATGGTTAGGAATCTGCGCGTAATTCCTCTACAGGGGAGTCTGCACGGTACCATCGTTGAACTGCACAGGCGGGGTAGTTAGCAAGGCTGCATAAAACACGACATGTAAATGCCGCACAAGAAGGATGGTGAACTTACCAGTTCAAAAGCAATGCGACCGGTCTTCTGTTTACCGATCTGGATATCGAAGAAAACACGGGGGCGGCCTGTGAAATTAAGTGCAATCAGTATTGTATTCTGCGGTTGAGACTGCGTTCCCCGCTTCAGAGTAAAACGTACGCTCAGAGTCGGCCATTATGGCGGTTGGAAGGAGTTGATGAGTGAAGAGGTAGGTAGAGAAGAGGGTTACACGAAAGAAGAAGCTGTAGAAACAGGGATGGGACAAATGAGAGAGGTGGAGGGAGAAGGAAGAGCTAAGGTGCGGAGGTGAACGAGGTAAAGAGGAGAGGAAGTGGGCTGGACCAGCCTTTGGCTGCGATGCTTCAAGAAGCTTCCATCGCATCTTCTTCCCCGGTGCCCGGCCGCTTCCTTCCGCGGAATGTCGACCATCCCCTCCTCACCTACCCATAGCTAAGTACTACTTGTCATCAGCAGGCGCTTATATTTGGGATTTGTATTGAGCGATCTAGGATCTACCATCCGTTCATCCCCAGTGGAGCACTGGCCTGCCAGTCTGGGGCAACGCTATGATCTGGACGGCTTCTCCCGTTCCCTGCCTCAATTACCTTATCACCAACACTAGTATACAAGGCTTTTATTTGCGCTGCAATTTACGGTGACGCATTGTTATTCCGTTGGAATACTGTCTGACGTCCAATGGCAAAGTGTCGCTCCCTTATACTGCGTTGGAAGCGATAATGCAGACTGTCCAGTGATCATTCGCAGGAAGTTGCTCAACCCAGTCAACAGCTACTACTGGTCATCGACAAACTATCTTATCGGTGTATTGCTGATGCTCATAAGGCCCAGGTTTCATATGGTATGGTTCTGCCTAACCAAAGGGCTAGATCAGTTACTATTGTAAGGATCCTGTCTTATGGGATCTTCAGAACTTAGATTGAGATGAAGCTTACAAGCTCGCTCTAACTTTGCCTCTTCGAGACATCTATACAACCGAATATCACAAAAAGAAAAGATCTCCTTTTCTCTCATCTCGTAGGGCTTTCCAGATTACATAACTCTTTAGCTTCAGATTATTCGCTACCTGGACTAGCGGAATCAACATAGCTATAGTAGGCGTCAATGACTCACTGCAGCGCCATGTACTAGCTCTGCGAAACACAAGAGATCAGAGGCTCGGCCCCTCGGTTGTTGAATTAGTGCATAGCCATCTACACGTCATAAGTTTGTTCTTGATTTTGCATGAAGGAGCTGATGCGCCGGGTTTATGCCACTAACATGTGCCTTGTTGAAGTATTCGAGAGTCGCATACATCTACAGGGTATCAGGCATACTGTAGCAACTATGATAGTACAACTGCAAGGTACTTAGTCTCTTCTAGATTCATCAAAGCAGTACAGCCAAACTAGCGCAAGGCGGCTATCATGTGAGGGATTCTGGAACATACTGCAACGAACAGGAGTCTGATTTTTGGAGGCCATGGTAGTAATTAACTAGATTTCCTCGCTAAAGTCCGGCTAAAAGAAGCCAATTATCGTGTAGGCACGATCATTGGTATATTGATTCACGTTCTCATTGGGCTAGTAGGCACACACTGTTGGTCTGACAGGACTGAAAGGTGCTTAAAAGTCATTAAATCTAGTAATGTAGAGATATGTTAGCTGGTTGTAGGGGATGAAGCAGGTTTTCTTGTACAAACCGATTTCCCCGGCATTTTTACACAGAAAGGTAGCATATAGCGCGCCGACGTATGTCACTATGTAGTTGAGGTGCTCCTCCGGGACGTGGGTTCTGTGTAATGTAAGAAGATGTTCGTTAAAAAATTCTTAGTTACTGAAGGAGGGGCTGACCACATCCTAATGGCTGGACCTGGTGAGTCAGCCACGATCAAGGATTTACTTCATCATTTAGTACACACTCTGACCACGCATTCTCTGCTGATTGGGGACTCCTGTTCTGGCCTTGCTACCCCACACCAACCAGGGTGAATGAGGGCCAGACAACGTATCATCCCGAAGGGAAGCGCTATCTTTTTTCTCAAGGCATCAATATAAAGTAGTGTATCTTGGTGATTGTAGACCTCTGACATGCTCTCCCCATTGCGCGTTTCACCATAGGCCGCACACCATATCCCAAGCGTTACTGGGAGTGAGCGAAACAGTAGACCAAAAGAATGAGAGACATGCAGGATAGGCGACTAGTCGCCGTAGCTAGACTTTCCCATGGCATCCCAACTATAGAGCAGCGAAGATAAAGGAGAAATACCTCTGGTCGTAGTTGTTCGCGTTCAGTGCATTCATCCATGGCTACACTGATAGTCGCATCGAGCAAATTGGCCTGAAGCCTTCATTTTGACATGGAAGTGCACGACCCCATCATCGGCATGACGGGAAGGTTCTTGGTCATTTTCCTTCATATCCTTGCATGGTTAGGTGGCAGTAAACAGCGGATATGAACCAGCAAAGGGATCAAAATTCCTCCGCGTTCTCTAAACTTCGATACAGACCAGAAAAGCCTCCCAGCGGATTGATTTTGAAATGGAGTAAAGCCCAAAGTAGGTTCTAGACCGGACATCCAGTCCGTCTCTGGGCGAGGTTTCTGGATAGTAAGGCGATTGTAACATTCTCCAATGAAAGTGCATGCCAGGAGGCCCGGCGAAGCGATGTTAGACTCAAAAGGCATTGACTAAAGGTTTGTGTAAGAGATAGCTTTCACGAGTCGGCGAGAGGAGCTTTGGACAGAGGCGATTTGAAAAATCAGCCATACGACACGTAAAGAATTGACAAAGCGGACATTATAGTCGTAGATGACACAGTGTAATTGATGTTTGTGCGATGCAGTCATCACATAGGAAGTGATCGTGCGTACTTAGTCGCACGCTTTTCAATTAATCTTGGCATTCGTTCGCAGTATTGGCGGTACGGCGTACTTGAAGTAGTATGACACAAGTTGTTCGCATTGGCTAGAGCGAGTTTCCCAATCTTGGCTGGGTGTGACACCGGCGAAAAGATAGGCTCGATGGTAGCGGTGGCATTGCTTGTTTCGTTGCGAACAGGCAGGTTGACAGTTTGCTTTGATAGTCCAAGCCTGCTGTCAAAGAATCGTTCACGTTGGCTTCACCTTTCGCTATTGATCATCCTGTTTGGTGGTATACCGGCCTCAGCGAGGATTAGACGAAAGGTTACTGATCCCCGACACCGTAGCGTCCAAACGCACATGGGTGTGAACAAATCGGGGTCCCCGGAGGGGGAGGGCCTTTTAAAAACATGCCCAAGGTTCGTCAGTGGCTAAGCCACCCGGTTATCCCAACGTTTTCCTTCGGAGTTGTCTGACGATGGTTTGCTTTCCACGGGACAGTTT